CCTGGAAGGACCACTTTCTGACCTATGATATTCAGTACTGTTAGTGAACTACAAGAAAACCTAAATCATTACTGATAGAGTGCAGATGACAAAGTGTGGGAAAATGAGGTGTAATAAAGAGGAAGGATTGCTGATAAAGGCTGAATAGTATTGCTTAGCAATCTGGGAGTAGGCAAACAAGATGGTTAAATCAGTCCTCTGTCTAAAAACAAGAATGGAAGATGCTTGGGAGCAGTGGCTCTGAAAAAAGACTTGGAGGTCATCATTTCTGAATAGAGAAACTGGATCTATTCAGCCTCCGCAAGAGAAGGTTGAGAGGCGACCTTGTGGCTGCCTATAAGTTCATCACGGGGGCACAGAAGGGAATTGGTGAGTATTTATTCACCAAGGCGCCCCCGGGGGTTACAAGAAATAATGGCCACAAGCTAGCAGAGAGCAGATTTAGACTGGACATTAGGAAGAACTTCTTCACAGTTAGAGTGGCCAAGGTCTGGAACAGGCTCCCAAGGGAGGTGGTGCTCTTCCCTACCCTGGGGGTCTTCAAGAGGAGGTTAGATGAGTATCTAGCTGGGGTCATCTAGACCCAGCCCTCTTTCCTGCCTATGCAGGGGGTCGGACTCGATGATCTATTGAGGTCCCTTCCAACCCTAACATCTATGAATCTATGGGCAACTGGTGCCTTCTGAGTCTGGGGGGGAGGGCACCAGATCACCGATTGGGGGGGGGGGATCCCCCAGGAACCAATCACTGACCAGGGGAGTCCCCGAGCTGCCAATCACTAAGCCAGCGGTGAAACTGAAAGTGCACTTCCAGTTGATGGCTAGTGCTTCCAGGGGGTGCATGGCTAATCTCAGGGGGTGTACGTGCACCCACGTGCACCCCATAAGTATCTCCAATGGAGTTCATGCTGACCCAGCAGCTGATGCGAGGGGTTGGCCAGGATGTAGGCAGCCAGGCCTGCAGATAGGCCCTCAGGGACAACCAAGGGGTCAGCAGGATGTGGAGCACAGATTACCAGTGGTCAGGTCAGGGACTGGATCAGTGGAACAGGGAGTGTGGGATCTAATTCCAAGGGAACCAAGAGGCGAGATTCAAGAGATGGAATCTGAGACTTAAGCTGAGGTCAAGAGCCAAGGGTCAGAGAACTGGTGCCATGTTCCAGGGAGAATCCAAGATCAGGGTCAAGGACACCAAGCCAAGCCACAATTCCAGAGAAACCAGAGAGAGAAGAGCCAAAGCTGAGTTTCAGGGGAGATCCAAAATCAGGGTCAGGAAAGCCAAAGTTGGGGTCAGAAGTCATGGGAACCAGATTGCTGTGAGCACAAGACTTGTTGGAACAGACTGAAGCTGCATCAAGGTGTGCCTGCAGCCTGAGGCTGCAGGAGTGTTTGTAAGGGGTGATTGGCACTTTCAGTAGCAAATCCAGCTGCAGAGAACTGGGGCAGTTTAATTAGCCAGGGATCAGGGGCAGGTGTGGTAGTTCACGTGCTTGACCCAGCTGGGCATGCTTGATCAGAGGCAAAAAAGCTCTTATGACCCTTTGCTATATAAACAGGGGGAAATTAAGAAGGAGTAGAAAAGTTATATTACCTTTGCATTTGGCACTTGTGTGATTGCTATTAGAATGGGTTCCACAATTCAAGAAAGATGTTGAAAAGTTAGAAAGGATTTGAAGAAGAGCTATGAGAATGATTAAGAGACTGAAAATATGCCTTATAAGGAGCTAAATATGTTCACGCAATGAAGAGAAAGTTAGGCCATTACTTTAGCACAATTTATAAGAACCTATATAAGAAGCAAACATTTGAAAACAAAATAAAGATTTTCATTCTACAGAAAAAAGCATGTCAGGAGCCAGTAGCTGGGAGTTGATGCTAAGCAATTTAAAATTAGATATTTGATGTAAATTGTTAAGAGTAATTAACCACTGGAAGAATTTACCAGGGGTATTGGTGGATTGTCTAATACTAGAAATTTTTTATATGAAAATGTTTTGTAAATTATATACTCTAGATCAGGGGTGGGCAATTATTTCAGCTGGAGGGTCACTTAATGAGGTTTGGTGAGCAATGGTAGCCCTGCCCCTTGACAGTTGCCATGCCCCCTAATTGCTGTCTTGGGATCAGAAGTCTCTTCCCTAACCCCTGACCTTTGCCACCAGAAGTCCCTCCCTTTGCCCCCTGGAAATATTCCTTTTTGGAGGGGGGATTGCCATCTTAGAACAAGGAAAAAAATAAATCACACACTAAAAGTCAAACACCTATTATAACATTTTAATTTTATTACAAAAAATATTTTTGTCATGATTTGTGTTTGCATAGTGTATATAGAGATGATTGCATTATAACTCCTATGATCCCTGCTGACTTCCTCCCCTGGGGCAGGGGCCTGGACTCAATGATCCTTCGGGGTCCCTTCCAGCCCGATTGTCTATGAACTCAAAAATAAAGTCTTAGTCTTGTATATTGTGTGTGTGTGGGGGGG